AAAGCTGAGGTCAGGTGGGTTGCCAGGGTGATCCCCTGTAATGCCAGTCATGCCCAATATACCACCCAGGATACTGGTGGGCACCAGGATTTGGTTGTTTTGGGAAGAATGAGCTGTTTTTTAACCATGCAGCCCAGACACGGTCCTGTAGGGGAGAAGAGAAAGCCTCCTGGGGCTGCCTGCCAGACACCCCGATTTCTTCTTCCTGAGCTGCCTACTTGGAAAAGAATCAGCAAGTAATCAAGCATGCAGGATAGAAGCGCATTCCAGGTGAGGACAGCCACACTGCTAATGGAGGACTGTGAGTGTGGTGGGGCTAGGGAGACAGCAGGGTGTGGGCAACTTGCATAGTACAGGGGGCACTGGGACAGGCTTTGCAGCCAGGCCTCCAGGGGAGTTCTGGACTTGCCTGTAGCTCTGCTCATGGGCAAATTTCTTAATCTCACTGAGTAGCAGTTCCACCCACTGCAATGAGGCGACATTTCCTGTCCTATAAAGAGTTCAGGAAGGAATGCCTGATGGGGATTTAGCACCAGTCAGAATGGGGTGGGCCTCCTGGGAGCCCCACCTGCCCTCTGCACCTGGCTTTGCTGTGAGCACCTGGCATCCGAGCAGCCATTTAGCTTAAAATGCAGTGCCATGCAGCAGCTGGTGTTTTGCTAAAATGAAGTCACAGCTTACTGTGGGCATGTGGCTCTCACTCCTTGCAGGGTGGTGTTCCCATGCTGCTGTGCTCGTGTGGTGCCCCCGCTTCTGAGCCTGAATGAGTAACTGGGAAACCTCCTCCATATGTTGCATTCTGTCGGCACTTGGACTTCAAGTGTGAGCACATTGTTGTGTCTGTGACGGGGTCATATTCTGAAAATAATAAATGGTATGCTTTTTATTCTCCAGGAAATCACGTGTCCCAGTCTGGGCTGTGGGCTGTGCCAGGCAGGAGGAGGCTAGGAAAGTGCTGACCAAAACAGGTCACACAGGATGAGGAAGCAGAGAGCCCACTTCTTCTGGACGCTCGTGAATTGTTGGCAAAAGAAAAAGGGAGAAGCGTAGAGTAGGGCTGGGAGACAGGGCAGCATGTCTGAGCCTTCCCTCTTGAGGACATCACACAAGTGCCCAGGTGGAAATACACTGGGGAGCCCTGGGCGATGGTGTCACACAAACCTCCAAAAGTGTCCTCAGCCTTTTGCAGAGCTTGGAAGACCCCAGGGATCTGCTGCTAAAAGAACACGAAATTAGGCAGAGGCCACAGTCAAGAGGACAAGACTGTCACAGCTAGACATTTGCAGGGGGAGCAGTGGGGCTTAGCCAGTGACATCAGAAGGTCAGAAAGGCACAGGCATAGCCCACAGCCACCTGTCCAAGAAGCAGCCCATGCCAGATCTTCTGCCACATAGACCTGAGAGGACCCCAAAGACACTGTGTGGCTGAGACCAGCTCCCTGTGCCAGACACAACAGATATACATAGGTGCTTCCTAGAGGGCAGCAGGTCCAGAGAAGACACCGGAAGACAGAGCATCTGTCCACAGGAACCTGAATCAGCCGAAGGACACCAGTGAAGTGAGAAGGGTAAAAATGCTGTCACCCCGGAAAGTTCAGTTTCTCCATTTTCCCCAGCCCCTACCCAGGGCACACCCAAGGAGGTGGGCACTCCAACAGCTATATGAAATAAAATTTTATATTCCTTATTGTAGTACATTTGTAGCCCACAATTAATTCAACAAATATTTCCAGGTGTGTTTGGAGATTTGGCGATGAACTTGACTAAGAGTTGGAGAAGGCCTCTGTTCCCGCTCACCTTATATTCTAACAGGGAGAGAAAGGCAGCACGCACTCACACAGACCAGCAATTACACTCAGTGGTGAGAAGTGCTGTGCTGAGCACAAACCAAGGCGACAGGATAGAGATGACAGGATTGGTCACAGACGGCCACAAGGTGCTGATGGGGGGAAGGAGCCAGCTGCGGCTGGTCTCTGTCTCCATCTACAGATAAGGAAACCGAGGATCCAAGAGGGGAAGAGCCTTGCCAGAGTCACATGCTGTATGATCTGTGTTAGATCTGGGAATCCCTGATGCAGCTCCCAGGGCGCAGGAAGCACCCGGATCTCTTGTGCTTGGTCTGCTTCCAGAAGTTTGGGAGGGTAACTGGGCGGAGATGTGGCTGCAGTAGGCACTTGACTTTGAGGGCCTTCCTGAGCTGGAAGGCTTGGGAACATGTAGCCACCCAGAGCTAGGAGTTCTGCCACTCACAGCTTCTCTACCCTCAGTAATCCCTGAACATCTTCATGCTTAGGTCCACTCTATAAAATAGGGATATCCTCTTACCTCCTAGGCTCTGAAAAGGAGTCAAAAAGTGAGGAAAGCTGGCCCAAAGGTCCCTTCGTCTCCACATTACTGTCACCCTCTCTGCACACGATACAGATGTGTTGCCAGCCTCAACCTGCTGTTTCCCTGTGCATTTCTAGGACATTGCCTGGGTCCCCAGTGCATGCCTAGGGTGGAGGTGGGTGGAGGGTCTCAGGAGCCAACCGCAGAAGGTAATGGGACAGAAACTGCAACAGGAGAGGGCACAGAAGGGTGCACTACCAAGTGGGCTGTCGGTGCTGCTTGGGGAAGACGGTGTCACTCAGTTGTGCACATGCAGGTTTGTGTTCTGCATGCTCAGAGAAGGGAAGAGGCAGCCCCCCAGGGGCCTGACAGCACATGAGAGGTGGCCACGCAGAGACTGGAGGCAGAGGCGGCAAGCTGGCTGGGCAGCAGGGGCTGGAGCCCAGCAAGGGAAGGGGCTGGGGAGGATGGTAGGGTCCTGGGAAGCCAAGAATGGGCCCCAAGCAGCCAGTGGGTGGGCTGGAGGGAGGTCAGGTGGACCAGAGCTGTGGAGTGGAGCTGGTGAAAACCTGGGGCTGAGGGACTGGAAGTGGGCAGGTGGTGAGATTGGAGAGTGCACCGGAGACCGAGGCAGGGCCTACCAAACCAGAGAAGCCAGGAGCTCTGATGGCTCCACATGGGACCTTGGTGGGGGGAATTAAGCGCTGCACCCAGTGTGACACCTGGCAGGCAGCAGGTGTTCGTATTTAGGAACAGACTGAATGAACAAATGATAGAGACCTGAAGCCGGGAGCCCAGGGACATCAGTTCAGGTGAGCTCGGGGAGAGGGAGAAGATGGGGCTCGAGGTTGGTCACTACCAGCAGGGTGGACAGAGGAAGGCCTGGCAGCCTGGTACCTACCAGATAGAGGTGCCTGGAGCCCGAGGTGCTGTTGGTGCACACATGGAGACAGGGCACCTGCCACATGTAGTAGCGTTCCTCGGATTCTTTCTGAGAGCTGAGTGGCAGAGGTAGGGGTGCAGGAAGGCACTCAGTGCTGAGGACAGTGTGTGGGAGTGGTGGAGATGGACACAGGTGGTTCCATGGTGGGGGTCACTAGCTGGCTGGTGTGGATGTGCCAAGGCGAGCTGCCCTTACCTGGGACTCAGGGCCTGGGCTCTCGCAGGGCCAGACAGGACAGGGGTGGGCAGGACAGGACCACCTCCTGTGCCGCAGCACAACCCAGAGGGGCGTAGGCACAGCATCTGGGACTGAAGGAAGAAGAGCAACACTGCCAGTGCCGCCAGTGAGGGCCAGGCAGGATTCCACCAGGGCTCTGGGTGCCAGGCAGGATGCCCTGTGTGTCCTGCTGCCTCTCACATCTTGTCAGTGGCCACAGGACCACAGAGCAGGACATGGGGCTGTCAGACAGTGGAGCAGTGTGCTGTTGGTCGCCTGGAACTAAAACAAGTGGCCAAAGGCCCAGAGAGAGGTAGAAGAAAAAAGTGTCACGTAGGGGAGGTCTGGTGCTGTGTCTGTGATAGCTCCAGGTGTGTAGGGGGGGACGCCCTGCAGCCCTTCCACGTGGGCAGCTCACAGAGTCCTCGGGAGTGGGAGGGACACTACTGAGAGAAAGCCTCAGGGCTGGGGAAGGAATATCCACGCATCCCCTCACCACGCTGATGCGTGGGGTGCAGGCCCCCGGCCAGAGCCTGCCTTGAACTGATCCTCCCCACCTCTGCCAAGTGATGAGACATGGGACACTTTAGGGACACTGGGGCCCCACTCTGGGCAGGACCCTCATATTCAGCTGTTACAGAGCCCATTCAGAGGCTGTGGGGGAACCTGGGTAGGGTTTGTGGGGTCAGTAGTACCCCCTTTGGGGAGGCAGTCTGGCTTAGTGACCAGAAGCCATTGCTGCGCCCAGCCCCGTTCCTGTTTGCTAGTCTCTGCCTGACCTTGACCACAGCAGCCAGCTCTCCAATCTATTCCTTGGCCCTGAAGATGGGGGTCCCAACGCTGTGACACATCTGTTCTCTCTCCCTGCCTACAGCCCTCCCAGCCCACTTAAAAGGACCTGCTTCCCCTAGGAGTGTTGGGAGCACTGGGAAGTGCAGTTGCCCTGGTGAGGCTGGCCTGGTAGTACAGAATGCGCTCCCACAGTGGCTCCTGCTCCACTCCCTCTGGGGTGCCTGCGAGCCCTGTGTTCTTGGAGTCTTCTGCCTCAGTGTGCAAGGGAGGCCATGACGCTGATAAGGGGACTTGCAGACAGAGATGGACAGAGGAGAAGACTGACACAGGCCACCTCCATTTGCGCCACCAGGGTGGCCCGCTGATTTCTGCTCCATGGATTCCCATGAGTATCTGTCACTGGCTTCTGTCAATTGCCTGGGACTTTGCCTTTTTTAGCATCTTGGGTTCGTGAGGACCTCTCGGGCCCAGGCACTCTAGGAAGTTGGTCAGCCTATTCTGTTTTGTCCAGGATCAAGGTGATATTTGAGAGGAGGGATGAGGGACCAGACTGATCTTAGAAATCTCCATAAATACCAACCTTGGGTGACAGAGTGAGAATGCACGTTAGGTCCCCAGCCCTCCCCAGGCAGGACCTTCACGCAATATGCTTTGCCCTCCCACCTCTCCTCTCCCTGCCACTCTGCGCCTACCACACATGACAATGGACAGCAGCCTTTTAAGTATATTTTTATTGAAAATAAAAAAGTCATGGTGCTTCTTTCTTCATACAGCATATAGCGCAACCCCCAAGGCTGCCCGTCCTGCCTCCTGCACAGAAGTCTCAGCATGAAATCGACGTTAATGGCCCATTGGTGGACAAGTTGGCATAGACAGATGCTTGTCCATTGAGACAGATTGCCTAGGGACAGGAGCCCTTGTCCCCACACACATGGCACATCGCTAAGAAGGCAGAGTCCAGGGTACTTACATTCATGCATCACGTCTCACGCTACCTCGGCTGTGGGGTCATACTTTGTACAGATGCAGAGAGTACAGTAATTATATATACAGATATTTCTTTAAATATATAACTATATAATATATATGTTTACATTTTTATACCTATTCATCTTTCTTCCAAAACTTCCCAAAAAGCCTCTTCACAATGCCTGCTAACTCTGGGAACTCCCAAATGTCACTGAGTTCCAAAGTGGGGTCACCTACCAGACAGGTGAGAAACATCTGAGAAAATGCAGAGCCAGAATGTGCATCTCATTCTCGACCTCAGATCAGTCTGAGAAAGGGTCTGGGTTGAGGGGCTGCAGATTCACTTTACACAAAAGCTCCAAGCTCACATACCAGGCTGCAGCAGGTTGCCATGTGCACCAGTTGCCCAAGTGACAGCCTGGTAGCCTCCCCCGCTGCCTACATGTCCTCTGAATACCTGTCCTGAATTTGGGGGCTTTGTTCTCAGGTGATCATTCTGTAAAAGAATGTGACTCTTTCTTGGTTTTCCTTAACTGGCTGCAAAGGGACAGTACAAGCTGGATGGAGGGGAACATACACGTGAACTGGAGTCCTGGGTGTTCCGAGGACCAGCATGATGGAAGCGCCACAGGTTCCTGCAGCCTAACTGCAAGATCTGGGCTTACTATGTTTAAGCTATAGTCAGGACAGTAGAACCCAGTGGGCATGGATATTCGGCCATTCCCGGCCTTTCTAGGTTGCCCTAGCTCACCCCTCAGCCAGTAGCCTCCAGCCAAAGACACCCGCTGGCCACTCTGGACTGGCCCAGAGCACCGCACCTGCTTTTTTGTCCATGAAGCCCAAGCTACGGTGTGCTTAGGGCCAGATTCCTGCTCACCTGTCCAGGTATGTGCTCAGGGAGGGGGCTCAGGGAGGACCAGGAAACTGTGGGCAGCAGGGCACAGTGCCCTGCAGTCGGCTCTGCCAGGCTTCTCTCTCTCTCTGGCTCTGAACTTGAAGCCCCTCCTCTGGCCTGCCTGCCACCTGACTCTGCATCCTAACAGTACTGCCAAGCGTTCACCAGGCAGAGGCTTTCGGCAGCACCATGACGATGCCTAGGCATGCCAGGAGAGTGAAATTCAAATAAGTCCTCAAGCTGAAGGAGGAGAAGGGGAAGAAAGACAAAAGCCTCTGTGGGAGGGCATATCCTGGGCCTGACCTCAGTGTGTACATACTGGCCAGGAGAAGGACAGTGACAGCTCTGGGCACAGGGCACTGGGACGGTGGACATTTTGGTCAAGTGGGGACCAGTTTTCATGTCTGTCCACCTCACCTGGACTGGAGGGTCTTACCGCAACCCAAATACCCGCCAGAGAAGTACAGTGGTGGTGGAGGGGCAGACGAGGTCCAGCCAGCTAAGGCCACACGTAACTGTCACGTGTGCCTGGTTCCTTCTGAGCAGGTATGTGAGGGTGGTGAGGGGACCACAGGGTCAGGAATGTCCTCCTCACTTGCCAAAGGAGGTGAGTTCACAAGGTCACTGCCTCCACAGACCTAGCAATGTATCACCCTGGGAGGTGGCCACCTGCGAAACTGGTTGGTAGGGCAGAGGTGACCAAGTCTGGAGGCTCCTGCCCTTCACCTCCGCCTTCCACACTCGCACATCTAGAGCACTGGACCACAGGACTCAGGAAGAAAACTCCTCCTTCAGGGGCTCTCAGAAGAGGCTCTAGGTACCACTGCCAGGCCTTAGGAGGACAGTCCCAGAGAGGGGGCCTCAGGCCAGCACTGGCCTAGCTTAGAGTGCCCAGTGGCTTTGGCACAAGGGTCGACCTCTGCCCAATGAGGCAGGGCCTGGCTCACATGAACGGGGGGCTCCTACTGCTGTCTGAGAACAGATGCAGGGGCCTGGGCCTTTCCAGGGTCACTTAGCCTCAGCTTCTGTGACACAACACTGTGCATGTAAATGTGCCCCATGTCTGCTCATGAGAGTTCTTGGGCTGGGCTTGTGACAAGCAGGTGGGAGCCATGACCATGGTGTGAGTAGGAACTGGAGGGTGGACACAGGCCCTGAAGACTGAGGACAATTACAAAAGAGGGATGGACAGCTGTGTGGGAAGCACCTTTGAAAGGGGACATCTATCTCATGGCTGTGTCGATGGCTTCTGTTGGGATGTCCACAGAGAAGCAGGCCACTTCCTGGAGGAGGAAAGGTCTTCAGGCCAGAGAGTGGCCTCATTAGCCTTCCTTTAGCTAAAAGGGGGGGTGCCTCCCTGCCCCCCACAGGTAGACAGACCTGCTGCCTTTGTCAGAGCCCGTGCTTTAGACAGCAGGTGGGGAACAGTCAGTGAACCAAACACAAGACAAGGAGCAGGATGTGGAGAGCCCTGGGCGGTGATGCTGCCCCAGGTGCTGCATGCAGGGGACCTGGCTCAGCCCAGTGTCTGCGCTGCCCCCACCCATTGGCCAACTGGGGCTGGCCTGGGAAGAGGTCGGTTTCTCCTTCAGGAGGCTTGAGGCCTACAAGGCAATGAAGTCCCGGCCAAGCCAGGGTCAGCTTCCCATGTCCACTAGTGCCACCAGGGGGTCCCTCTGGCCAGCGGGTCCAGGACCTGCAGACTCACACCACCGCGTTGCTCACATCCACCCCTTTGTTGCTCTGTGAGGAGCTCATAGGATACTCAGCAACGCTGGTGCCATTTTCATCTTTTCGCAGGGGTTTCCTGGAAGGGAGGGAGACAGAGGGGCAACAGGGAACATCATCAGTTGCCAGTGACTACGGGGTGTGTGATCCCCCAGCCAGCTGAGTCCCAGAATGAAACCCAGTCAACTCAGTGCCGCGTTAGCTGCTGAGCTTTGCGTTCAGTCAGAAGCTAGATGTGGTCTCAACTAGGATGACCACAAAATTTAGTATGCAAACCAGACAGAGTTGAGAGGGGAGCTACTGACAATGGAGCAGGGACAACAGGCCTACATTGGAACTGTTCCACACAGACCAGAAAGAACGGCCAGCCCCAGAGGCTCAAGCTTTGATGGGTCTCTCTAAGTGTGAGGGGACAGAAATGAAGATGAATATGGGAGGGTAAGGACAATTAGCAGGAGAGAGGCACTGGTGGTGGGATTTTGCACTCTCACCTCTGCATGATCAAAGGCGAATGGAAAACATGATGGAGATGTGGCGATGGTGATGGTGATGGTGACCACGGTGACAGTGATGGTGGAGTGGTAACGAGGGAGGAGGTGGTCCTTACAAAGGTGGTGATGGCAGAAGGGCTGCAGGTGGTGGTGACGACTGTCGTGACATCATGGTAGAGGAGGTAGTGAAGATAGTGATGGCAGGGTAATGGCAATGGTGACGAGGGTGGTGGTTGTGATGGACGGGCTGGCAGCAGCAGTGGCAGTGCGTTGTGATGATGATGGTGACAGATGCTTAAATTAAATTTGCCAGTACACACCAGCTGGCCTTCCCACTGGCCACTCACTCTGGACCCCAAGGACCACTCCTTCTAGACTTACAAGGGACCAGGAGGCTGGAAGGAAGGCTTAGAAAAGGCCCTGGCTGGTGTGCTAATGTTCTGAAATCTCACCGCCATCACCTGGGCTGGGTCAAATCCTGTTCCCCCCTGGCTTCATTCAGATGGGCTCTGGCCTTCACCCTGCGTGTCGGCATCCTCCTGATTGGGGCTGTACATTTTGTGTGTCCCAACTCCATGCCACAATACTGCTGTCTCTTGGATGGATCGGACCTGATAGGGCCATACCACAGGCATTTAAATGCCATCAGTTGGCTGGAGTGAGCTTTAGTTGGCCCTTGCTTAGTGTTGTCCAAGTTACAGGCAATCAGGCTCAGCCAGAGTGGCGGTTCCTAGGAGGGTGAGGTCAAGCCCTCACTTCCTCCCCTGGTGCCTCATGCCTTGGGCAAAGCGCTCTGGTTCAGAGAGTTCCTTGTCCCATCTCCCAATGCCCTGGAGAAGTTAGGCTGGAGTTAGGAGTCATTTCATGAGAAACTGAGGCTAGGAAGGCTATGCCTTGCTGAGGAGCCCCAGTCGGATGGTGGAAGGGCCTGGCCCACTGCTCAGTACTTCTGTCCCATCTAGACATCTTCCCAGTCAGCCTGCATTGCCCCCAAAGCAGGTTTTGTGGTCCCCTTGGGTTAGGCAAACCTTCCTCCACCCTCCTCTTTGTGGGCCCGAAGTCCTGCAGTCTCCCAAGAAGCCTGTCTCATTCAGCTGTGCCCCAACATGCCCACACACAGCACCCCAGACCCCAAGATGGAGCTACCACAGCTATCTGCACACTGCGAGGGATGGATCCCCAGAAGCCAATGTGGCCTGTTCTCTGGATCCAAGTTTTCCACTATCGTGCCCCCTGGGCTGCAGCTGCCCACAAAACTTTCTGGGCTTCGGTGGTGCCCAGTGGCTTCTCCTTAGAGCAGCACAGTCTCTGTCTGCCTCCAGGAGCCATCCCTTCACCAGCTACAGCCTTTAAGGGTGACACTGTGGCAGCACTGAGGCAGATGTCATAGCTCAGTGCACAGCACCACCACTTTCTGGCTGTGTGGCCTTGGGCAAACAATACAACCTCTCCCCACCTCAGTTTCCTTGTTTATAAAATGGTGTAATAATGTCCACTTCAGAAGGTCGTTGCGAGGATTAACCATGTTAGCACACCCCAAGCACTTAGGTGAGTGCGTGGTACGCAGTAAGTGCTTGTAAGTATTTGTTAGTGCTCAGCATTGCCGTTGGGAAGGTGTCAGTGGGGGTCACTCTGCTGGCCTGAAGCGGCAGCCAGCACTGCAGAGACTTCCTACCTATTGTGTGCCACCTGGGGCTCCAGAAGGGGTAGAGCAAGACTCTAGGACCCAGCCAGCCTGGGCTCCGTGGGCCAGGCAAAGCTGGCCCTGCCAAGCCAGGACAGGTACCTCCACCCTGTCCAGGCAGAGGTGGCCACCGAGGGCCCCCTAAATGGCATGGTTCCTGAAACCAAGAGAAAGGTGGGTGAGCCAGGACCCCTGCTGCAGAAAAGAGGGTTCACTGTCCTGTAGGCCTTTTGTCCCCAACGCCAGGCCTGTGGCAGGCAGTGGGCACTCTGTGCTCTGACTGCATGCACCTACAATCTCAGGGGGCCATTGCACACTCTGGGCCCCCAGCAGCACTGCCGGACTGCACTCTTGGGCTGGCCGACAATGATGGGAACTGTCCAGGCTCAGCTGTGCTGTGCTGGGGACCACAGTCAAATGCAGTTCAGAGCAGCCTTGAAGGGGGTCCACACTCCTGTCTCTAACACCCCAAGGTTTACTTTCAATGCAGTGAACAACACAGCTCCTACCTCCCCTCTCCTGAGGGCATTCATCTCTCTCACTTTATGTGTGTGTGTATGCATAAACACACACACACATGCGTGTGCATCCCCATCATGAAACTCCTCCACAGCCTTCAGGCTTCCCCAATTTCTGAGCCACCACAGCATCACTGTGAGAAGCAGCAGCCCCATTTCCAATCCCGCCAGGACTGGGGTGATACAGGAGTGTCACTTGGAGTTCAGCATAGCCAAGAGTCTTGGGTAGCTCCTGGGCTCACCTCTGTTGGCCCCTGTGCCCAGCAGCATCCCAGGAACTGGGTGTGCTGAGGGGAGTGGCTGAGGGCATGGCATAGCTGGCTGAGTGTGTTCGCCCTCTCCGAGGCTGTGACTGTCCCTCTGCCCATGAGTACTGGTCTGCAGCCTGAGGCCAGCTACGCCACAGCCCTTCCAATCCTGGATGCTGGAGACAGGACTGTAGGACCAGAGTCCTGGACAGGAAATGTCCAAGCTGGCTAGGCTTGGTGACTGTGCTCCCAGCCCTCAAGATGCCAGAAGGACCTGTGGGACTAGGGATCCTTTGTTGAAGGGACTGTGGGAAGAGATGGCACCCATGTCACCAGGCTGTGTCTGTCTCTCTGGGGTTCCACAGACAAATGTTCTTTGGGAGTCTCTTCTGGACCAAGGAAACATGTGGGAGGAGGTGACCTTAATTAAGATGAGCTCTGTCAGGGCCACCGCACAGCAGAACAGGAGGGGACCTGGAGCCACATAACATGGGCATGCCCTTAGCACCAGTCCCAGGCCTAAAATGTCTCTTTAGCCACAAAAGCTCACAGCGATGGCAGGAAGTCTAGAACCCCCACCCCTCTAAAGGCAGGAATCCCAGAGGAGTTGGCCATGCCAGGGGGCCCTGTCCTATGTTCCTGGACACTCAGCGGGACCTGGGCTCCTCTGCTAAGGGCTGCTGAGGTGAGGGTAAGTCCCATACTCTGGACCAATCTATCCCATCCTGGGCACTGTGCCACCTCTGAGAGTTCTGGCACCACCTGGTTGACACAAGCAGCTCTAGCTCCAGAGTCCTAGGGGTTCAGCTCACTTACGTGCACTAAAATGGCCTGAATGGCCCAAGAATGCCAGCCTCAGCCCAACATCATGTAGCATCAGGCCACATGTGAGTAAAGACTGTAGTGACTCACAAGAACCATGAATGATGGCAAAGGTGAGATCTCAGGGAGAGAAGGAAGGCACCTGCTCAGGGCTGACAGGTGAGCCAGGCCGGAAAGGAGCCTTCCCTGTAGGGAGCAGGCCAGGTGCTGTGACTGAGGCCCTTGGGGTAGAATAAGAGAGAGTGGTAGAGAAAGATCAGGGAGCAAGAGGGAGAGAGGGACAGGACCCAGGCCGTGCCAGGCCGTGCCAGGCAGTGTGAGGTGCTCCCAGCAGGTAGGGGTGGGGGTCTCATCTGAGGAATCCTGTCCACTGCTCACCCATGACCTTGACCCAGCATTTCCAGAGAGATGGGCTGCAGGGGGAGGAACTTGTTGGGAACCAAAGCAAAAGGCCCCAAGAAATAGAGACTTGTTTGGGTTTTGCATCAGCCATCACCGAATCTGTCCTCAATCTGCAGCCTCCAGTCACCAACACAGCACGGTGGCAAGGCTCCTGGCCTCACTGCATCCAGGGCCAGGCAGATGAAGCAGGCTGGTGTCTGCTGCCACCAGGGTGGGATTTCACTGCCCGTTGCTGAGGGAGCTCTCTTGCAGGAGAGCCAACAGGCCCCCACAGGCACCTCAGGACACCTCATGTCCTGCTCCTCCTTGCCTCACCTGAGCTCTGCTGAAGTAAGGATTACGGTGATGATGGTGACAGACACCATGGCATCTGGAACACAGAAACACATGTACTCACAGGGGAAAAGTCAATCTCCAGGAACCTGGCAGATGGCAGAGCGGGCCAGAGTCATGGGATGGAGTCCTGAAGTCACAACAAAGAGCAAAAGCTAGCTTCCTGAAAGCTACCACGGTCCCAAGTGACCTTACTCAGATGGCCTGAGCAGCCCGGGCAGAAGAGGCCCTTCCAGAGAGTACAGCAACTTGGACTGCCCTTGGGTTCTGCTAGAGGCCCAAGCAGGTGGTGGCAGAGGAGAGAGCTGCACTTGCTCCTGCCCCAAGGGTGTACCCTGTGGGGAGCAGCACAGGTGGCAGCTGTTGGGGCCCTTCTGAGGCGATCCCTGCCTGAGAATGTCACACACTGGACCAGGAGGCTGTGCCACTGCGAAATGCAGAGGGCCCCACGGAGCTCCTGCTTGGAAAATGCCGAGGCAACAGGGCGTGGAGCGGGAGCAGAGGGCGAAGGGGCGAGGCCCGGGCATCGGAAACGCACACACATTCTCCACTGCAAAGCTAGATTCTTCCTCACTCACCCA